CCTCCTTTTCATTTTAAGATATGCTGTTTCCTACATTTTTAATGCTACTAACACGTTTGCACACGTGTCTTTATTATCTGATTATTACTAGTCACAGTTGGTTACACTTGGATCCTTAGTACCTGAGTATGTCTATAAAGTCATCAGGTAGATTTCACTGGTAATGTTTATCACCTCTACTATTTAACATGAAGTAAAATTAAAAAAAATTTCTAAATAACTACATGATTAGAAGAAGCATTTCATTACAGTAACACACTCCAGAGCAAGAGAACATCTCTTTCACAAATGGCTGTAAGTTTCTAGGTTCACAGTTGAATTAATAGTTATACAATATTGAACTTGGTATAAGCCCTGTAAAATTGAATGAGTTTCTAACCTTTAAAAAATATCTTCATTTTAGAATATATTGTTCCTTGCAGAAAGACTCACTATTTTTGCTACTAACACTGAGATGCTGGTGCATACATCTCTAATCTGTATGTATCTGATTATTACTAGTCATAATCGGTTGCACTTGGATCCTTGGTGCCTGTGTATGTCTGTAAAGTCATTGGGTAGATTTCAATGGTAATGTTTATCACCTCTACTAATTAACATGACGTAAATCCATGCGTCCTCCTCAAACAAAAAACATTTAAAAATTTTTGTTGAATTTTCTCTGTGTGTGTGTGTGTGTGTGCATATCACACAGAACATCCCAAACCATCTTATTCAAATACACCCCCTCCCCAGATGGCACCCTCCCAATAGCCTCCCTGCCCCCACTAGAGCCCTTATACTCTGATATCCCTGCTACTGCGTGCTGTGTTGTCGGCAACCCCAGCCATTGCTCCCTATTTGTCCATCTGATAAATCTAGTCAGCCTATCTAGAGGTCTTTGTTTGAGAAAGGTCAGCTGTTCCTCATCTAGCAGCAATCAATTGTTAATATTCCTTTAGATAAGATTGGGGTGTGCTGTTCAGTTTCCCAGTTCTATGCTGGGTTACTATCTGGGAGTCCCTTTGGCCAACCTGCCTGACAACTCAAAAGAAGGTATCTCCTGTCTGGAATTGTTGCTTGTTTTGTAGCCTTTAGCTATACATATGGACCCTTAAAAAATTGTATTAGCCCCATTAATCATTGGTTATATTTTCCTTTTGGGTATTTAAGGCCATACAGTTAGCCCAGATAAACCAAGTTATTTTTACTCTTAAGGTCGTTTGAGGATCTGTTCCTCAGGGGTCACGTGGACTTGGGAGGAGCCCCTGGCTCCTTTCTATAAGTCAAAGGTCCTACTCGACCATGGCTGGCTTCTCTTGGAAGGATGGAGGAAATGATTCCTCTGTGTTGACCCTCCTTTTTGTAGACTGGACACCAGTTCAAGTCCATCTCATGGGGTCTCCTCAGCCTCCTTGATCTAGAGGACAGGTGACCCACCACAATTACAGGACATTTTGAGAGATGCTCATAGTTCCCTGGACCTAGTCGACCAAGGAGGGCAAGGAGCAAAAACTGTCCTTTATGTCCCTCCGACCAAATTATTATAGGCCTCAAAGTATGTCTGTTAAACATCCAAGAAGGTTAGTTCCACCAGTCTGGTACTTTTAATTACTGTGTGTCACGTAGATAAATCTTGGGCAAAGACCAATTGTTCTCAGATAAACCTGACCTAGATACACATTTCTTGATCTGCTGTGTATAATTTGTCAGTAGGTTGTAGGAGTAATATGGTTACCGCTGGTTTTTAAAACTAGCTAGGCATTGTTTATCTCTCGCATTGTCTCACCCCTCCATCATGGTTTTCCCACTT